TGGCAGGGAGGGGACAGCCGTGCAGAGATGCAGGACAAGGGGTTGTCGTCCTGCTCCTTCCCACCTCCGGCAAAGCCTGTCTTCCCACACCCTGGGAGAGGGCAGAAAGCTTCACTGCTGTGGCATCACCCTCCTTCTGCAAACCGCTGCCACCCCTTTGTCCCCCGTGCTCACCGGCTGCCCAGGGTGGTCTGCAGCACCGTGGAGATGCCGCAGGCAAAGAGGCTGCGTGCCAGCAGCTCGCTGGTGGTCTGGGCATGGGACGGCTCCTCAGGCAGGGTGGGCAGCAGGAGGAGGTGGAAGATGCAGAGCAAGGATGCCTGTACAGCCAGGTGCTGGGCAGGGGAAGAGAGTGGTTGTAACTCCATGCAGCACCCAGAGCTGCAGCCTCTCTGTGCCCAGCCCTCCCCGAGCGGGTGCATGCTCACCACCATGCCCCAGCGCTGGTGGTCTGGGCATGGGACGGCTCCTCAGGCAGGGTGGGCAGCAGGAGGAGGTGGAAGATGCAGAGCAAGGATGCCTGTACAGCCAGGTGCTGGGCAGGGGAAGAGAGTGGTTGTAACTCCATGCAGCACCCAGAGCTGCAGCCTCTCTGTGCCCAGCCCTCCCCGAGCGGGTGCATGCTCACCACCATGCCCCAGGGAAGTGCCCACTACTCCCCTCCCAGCATATCCCAGCCAGAGCCCCACGCACCCTTTGCCTGGCAGGATGCGGCCCCTGCCCTGCCACCTGCAAGGAGCTCAGCCCCCTCCTCTGGTGGAATCTCTCTGGCTGCTCACTTACCTGAAGGGCTAAGCAACAGCTCAGCAACCAGGAGCACGTCTTCTGCGGGGAGCAGGATGGGAGCATGGGGCTCCCAGCATCAGGCACTCCACAGCGGTCCCCATTCATGCTGCTGCCTCCCCACACCATTCCCAGTTTGCACTGTGGAACGGGTGGGCAGGCTCCCAACCCCGAGGGCTCCTCACAGCCCTTGCATGGCTGAACTTCCACCTTCTGCAGGAGCTGTCCCACAGTTAGCCATTAACTTGAGTTGGTGAGTAACCTGCCCTTGCGACCAGGAATGCAAGTGTCACCCTGAGTTGTCACTGCAATGGCCAGGTGACACCCATCCAGGGCCAGGACACTATTACAGCGCCAGCTGCCCACAGCTCAGGTCCCAGCCCTGCCTCTTGCAGTACACAGGGCAGGGACTGGGTGGGCCACAGCAGACACCTCTTCTTCCATGTGCCTGGAACATCCTCACGGCTCTGGCATCTCTCTGCCTTCCTGGTACTGCCCTTCCTCCCCATCAGGTTTTGAGGAGCCAGTTAAAAGCTGCACCTGCCCCACCCAGGTCCTGCCATTCCCCATCTGTGGGCACTGTGCCCACGCCAGGAGGGTCTCCGTTGGGGGTCTACCATGTCCCTCATGCTCCTAAGAGGAGGGCATCAAATCCTCCTGCTGGACAAGGATACCAGGGACAAGAGCTGCCTGCTTGGCTGGGAAGGCTCCCAAGAGAGCAGAGACAGGGGATGCCCCTGTTTTTGTCACAGGGCAGTGGTGGCTGTTCCAGCGACCACAACGGTGACCTTGCCAAGCCTTTGCTGCTCCGGGCTCACTCATTAACTGCACAGACTCTGAAGTGCAAAGAGCGGCAGAGACCATGCATTCCCCACATTCCCAAGTGTGGGGAACCTTCTCTATCCCACTGCCCCCACCTTCCCCTTGCAGCAGTTCCCAGTGTCCCTCCTTTCACCAGAGAGGTCAGTCCCTCTCAAGCCCTGCAGGACAGGCCTCACAGTGTTCCTGGGCTCACTTGCAGCACTTCAGACCCGCCTGGCACACTGGCTCAGAGAGCAAGTGTAGTTGCATGGATGGGGCTCCTCATGCTGCCAGCACAACGAGACAGTTGCACAGCAAGAACTACTTTTATTGGAAGAGATCTGCACCTACAAAAAGAGTGAAAAAACAGGTGTAAAATCCACAGTAAAAAGGAGGGGTGTGATGGGCTGGGCTAGTCAGCAAGACAAGGTGCCTTCTCCCCACCCCAAGGAGCAGTCAGGCACTGTTTGCTCACAGCTGCAGACACCTGGGATTTGGGACCGGGTCACAGAGCACCCATTTCAAAACACCCAACACAAGCAGGATAAGGAAGCTCAGCCTTAACCACACATGACCACCTCCAAGCCCAGTGGGGCACAACCACATGGGGGGTCTCCTCCCGGTGTAACCCTTGCATCTCCCAAGAAGTAGCCCAACAGCCCCCAACAGGAATTGCTGCTACTGCCAGACAGTTGGGGTTGCTCATTTTCCCCTCCTTCAGCCTCCTCTCCCCTCACTCAGGCACCTCACGTCCTCCTGGAGCATCCCACTCTCCTACTGAGGTCACGGCCCCAGCCACTCCACCCTGCACACACAGCCCCAGCATCCTACATCCCACACACCACCTCTGTCCAGCATCAAGGGCCACCCACTCATTGTAGGAAGAGGTACAACACCCCCCCCTTGTCCTAGCACCCCATTTCTACCATCCAGGTAGTAGGTTCCAAGCCCAGTACCCCAACAGCAAGCCAACTCTGCCCCAAACCTGTCCCAGCAGCCCTCAAAGTGAAAGAAACCCCTGCACTGGGTGGAGGGTGGACATAAATGCCAGTTTGGAAGTAACACAGGGGCCTCCAGCCCCATGGATCAGGGGTCCCAGAAGTGCAAGGAAGCAAGTTGTGCCACACTAGGAAGGAAGGGGAAAGGGGCTGCAACCCCGTGCTCCTAGCTGGGAAAAATGAAGCTCTTGATTCTACCTAAATCCATGGCAGTGT